AATCTGTCATTTTATGCATAATACTTTACTCGTACATTCAAAGTGTTACCTGGATTTTGGATAAACTATAAATATACTTTTTATTTAAGGTTGATGCGTTTGACTCATATGGATGGGTAAATTTCGCTTTAATATACAAAATGTATAAACGCCAAATATACATCAATTAACAATATACATATTATCTTTGTCATATTTATGCATCGTATATTAACAACCTTAGAAAAGTTGTAAATTTACCATTTAGATTTATGTCTTCAACATCAATTTGACTGTATGTGCTATGTAATTTCTCAAATCTGTAACCATAATTAATAACAAAATTAGTCATGTAATGAAAAGTTTATATAAAATGTAAAAATACAGTGGCGTTGTGTGTACTAAATTTTCATGCTACATAAAAAGTGCAAACATCGTGTTAAATTATACAAAATCTACATATCATCACCTTAGTGCAGTAACAGGTTAACTCCCATTGAACTATATAACGAGTTACGCGTTACTGCAATAAGGTGACGATATGACAATAGTTTAGCATGTTAATTATTATAAATTAGACCACTGGCGGAAATTCCTTATTCAGCTTTGTTTATTATCGACAGATAACTCCTTTAAACTGATATTTGTAGAAAACTTTTAAGTGAATCTTCCATCACAAGTTATATGTCATGACTTCCATTATCTTATGCACATCCAATAAGCGTCTACTTGACCGGTACCAGGCAAAATCTTGCTACCCCGATGTTTTCAATACATTGAAATACATTGAAAACGAAAGACCGGATTTCTTTAATGCAATAAGAAAAACATATAAGACCTAATACACGTTCATGAATAATGTAGGGTCAGAAAAAGAACATAAAAAGAAAACAACATTACCCAGGCAATCTATTCGATCCCTCACAAACAGCAAGACAACCTATGGTGGGATCGACGTCACCAAATGGTGTCCACATGGTAAGAAGTCTTTGTGTACCACGTGCCATGTACACGTTATCTACGTGCGCTCCCGTAAACACTTGTCGGTGCACGGCTCTGAAGAAAGAGAATGAAAAGGAAAACGGCACTGTAAACAAGACGATAAAGAGATAATTTTGAAGCTAAATTATATTAGTAAGTTGGTATATTATAATTAATAAGGTAGCAAACTTTACACATCTTAAAGACATGTAAAACATGTTAAATACATATATAAAGCTAGGTAAACTATATAAATATTTTTTGTAATAAATAATCTTGCATACTGCAATGTTATAACTTCAACACGTAGATTAGATATATAAATAGACTATAATTATATATCTGCAACATTTGTTCAACATAAGTAATCATTATGTTTAATTACAAGAAACAGTGCTGCACAAAACATATTTAAAACCATTTAAAACATTTAAAACTAAATCATTTTCTATCAAAACATGAAACAAAATTAATTAATGCCAGATGTCATATTTTATATCAATTTGCTTTACGATAAGGTACAGAATATCAGGAACACTAACGACGTTTGGAACATTAGTTGTCTCCCTTTTGAAACCGTTACATACCTAAGCCATTTGTAATCAAACGTTCGTACATCCTCTCCAAACAAAGTCTTAAAAAACGCAAATGCTAAAATAAAATACAAAAACTTTATTAAGATTACAGTACATTATTCTGACATGTAAACACACAAAACGCGCTGTCATACAAATTTGCAAAAATCATGCACTGGTTTAAACAAAACTGTTCAAGACACCTGTAGATAGTCAATTACCTAAATTAAATTATTATGTTGTAATGATGAACTTATTAGAACTGCTTTTGCTTATATACTTATACTTTTTTCAATCATGCCGGCAATAATATTAATATGGTTACACAGAGACATTTCCACTGATAGTTCGAATAGTTCGGAAAAAGCGAATTCCTCGAGAGAAAACTAAACAAATTATATATGTAGGAAGGAAATTTGGAATCGCAGTCTCGGTTTATTTGCATGTGTTAAAAAGATATCATGTATGAACAACATATTTCGGGTCCCCAAGCACCGGGAAAATATTAACTCACTTACGTCTTGGTCCCTCCAAAACCTTTGATACGGCTTCTGAGTGAGTTATGTCGTTTCTTCCCTGAAAAAGGTTTTAAATCCTACAATCATTTTTTTTAAAAATATCAATTACGGAATAAGTTTGTTACTATGTATGGACGTTTAAAAAGTTATGAAAGAACTGTGGTGTCTGAGCAAAAGAATATGATATAATTCAATAGCATGTTATTAAAATGCTGTACTGTAGTTAATAAATCAGCAAATAAACGAGATTTCTCAATATAAATAACATTATAAACTGTATAATAAACAAAACCTAAGAGTAGGCCAGTGTATGCACGCGCATTTATAAACATTTACGCACAAACTTAAGCATTATCTGTTTATCAAATAATTACCATTAAATAATTTTCAAGGTAATAATCATCGTAACTATCGTTATTTAAACGACCCTACGGATAACCTACTTCATTTCAAGACCAAGCAAATTCTATACTTTTCAGTCACAACGTTGACATACAATAACAAATGAGCCGCGTCATGACAAAACCAACATAGTGCGTTTGCGACCAGCATGGATCCAGACCAGCCTGCGCATCCGCGCAGTCTGATCAGGATCCATGCTGTTCGCTATCAGTTTCACTACTTGCTATAGGGTTTGTAAGCGAACAGCAAGGATCCTGATCAGACTGCGTGGATGCGCAGGCTGGTCTGGATCCATGCTGGTCGCAAACCCATTATGTTGGTTTTGTCTTGACGCGGCTCATATAATAACAAGAGGGCCATGATGGCCCTGAGGTCGCTCACCTGTATATAGCCCCGCCCCCGGGCCAATTTTTTCCCAAGGGCTTTTATTTGAACAGACTTGGTAGACACCCATAAGAAGATGTTTCATGCTAAACATCTAAGTTCTAGCTCATTGGGTTTTTTAAAAGAAGATTTTTTAAGTTTTTACTATACACATATAGTTAAAAACAATGACACCCCTGGGGCAGGGCCAGTTTTGACCCCAGGGCTTTTATTTGAACAAACTTTGTAGATATTTACTTAAAAATGTTTCATGTATAATATACAAACTCAAGCTATTTGGGTTTTTTCAAAGAAGATTTTTAAGTTTTTGCTATACACATATAAGGAAAATCAATGACCCCCGGGGCGGGCCAGTTTTGACCCCAGGGCTTTTATTTGAACATACTTGGTAGACACCCATTAGAACATACTTCATGCTAAATATCTTAGCTCTAGCTCTTTGAGTTCTTTAAAAGAAGATTTTTTAAGTTTTTACTATATGCATATAGGGAAAATCAATGACCCCCTGGGGCGGGGCCAATTTTGACCCCAGGGCTTTTATTTGAACAAACTTGGTAGACACTCATTAAAAGATGTTTCATGCTAAATATCTTAGCTCTAGCTCTTTGGGTTCTTTAAAAGAAGATTTTTTAAGTTTTTACTATATGCATATAGGGAAAATCTATGACCCCCTGGGACAGGGCCAATTTTGACCCCAGGGCTTTTATTTGAACAAACTTGGTAGACATTCACTAGAAGATGTTTCATGTCAAATATCTAAGCTCTAGCTCTTACGGTTCTTTAAAAGAAGATTTTTTAAGTTTTTACTATATGCATTTAGGGAAAATTAATGACCCCCCGGGGCGGGGCCAATTTTGACCCCAGGGCTTTTATTTGAATAAACTTGGTAGACACTCACTAGAAGATATTTCATGTCAAATATCTTAGCTCTAGCTCTTTGGGTTCTTTAAAAGAAGATTTTTTAAGTTTTTACTATATGCATATAGGGAAAATCTATGACCCCCTGGGGCAGGGCCAATTTTGACCTCAGGGCTTTTATTTGAATAAACTTGGTAGACACTCACTAGAAAATGTTTCATGCCAAATATCTAAGCTCTAGCTCTTACGGTTCTTTAAAAGAAGATATTTAAAGATTTTTCTTTCGGTTGCCATGGCAACCAGAGTTCTGCATGAAATGGAATTCTTTGACACTCATTAGAAGATGTTTCATGCTAAATATCTTAGCTCTAGCTCTTTGGGTTCTTTAAAAGAAGATTTTTTAAGTTTTTACTATATGCATATAGGGAAAATCAATGACCCCTTGGGGCGGGGCCAATTTTGACCCCAGGGCTTTTATTTGAACAAACTTGGTAGACACTCACTAGAAGATGTTTCATGCCAAATATCTAAGCTTTAGCTTTTACAGTTCTTTAAAAGAAGATTTTTTAAGTTTTTACTATATGCATATAGGGAAAATCAATGACCCCCCGGGCCGGGGCCAATTTTGACCCAAGGGCTTTTATTTGAACAAACTTGGTAGACACTCACTAGAAAATGTTTCATGCCAAATATCTTAGCTCTAGCTCTTTGGGTTCTTTAAAAGAAGATTTTTTAAGTGTTTACTATATGCATATAGGGAAAATCCATGACCCCCTGGGGCGGGGCCAATTTTGACCCTAGGGCTTTTATTTGAACAAACTTGGTAGACACTCATTAGAAGATGTTTCATGCCAAATATCTAAGCTCTAGCTCTTACGGTTCTTTAAAAGAAGATATTTAAAGATTTTTCTTTCGGTTGCCATGGCAACCAGAGTTCTGCATGAAATGGAATTCTTTGAACAATCTTGATAGAGCTTCATACAAAGAGTATTCCTGCCAAGTTTCATTAACATTTGCCTTGCGGTATCATAGAAGATGTCCTTAGAATATTTAAAATGTGGACGGACGACAGACGACGGACGCCATTTGGTTGGCCATCCTAAAAGCTCACCTGCACTTTGTGCAAGGTGAGCTAAAAATAAAGCAAAAGCGCACAGCTATTTAAGTTACTTCATGTTAATTAAAATACGTCACTTTACGTAAACGCCACGACAATGACGTCATATAGAGTCAGCGTCATAAAAAATGACTTCACTTTCATAAGAAGCGATAAAAGGTACAAACCTGGAAGGATGGAATACATCCATGACCGCATCTGAGGTGCAAGACCCCATCCTCCCAGGGTTTGGACCCATCCAGTTTATTAGGACCTAACTTCTTAATCGCTTTTAAAGTTTCGAGCCGGGCCTGTAACACGTCCTCACGATCGTGCATACCTCGAATTAATAGATATCTATAACGAAAATATGGTAAGAATTGGCAATAAATACGCATATACCAGACAAAGGGTACTTTTTAGTGAATGACGTTTTTTTTTTCTTATCGTTTTTTCGTGTACCGTTTATCAGCTTCACAAAGGCTACCGGTATCTACAGTAGGTCAAGCGACTTCTTTATGGCTGAAAGCAAACCCTATAGGTCAAGCGACGTCTTAATGGCTGAAAGCAAAACCAAAAAGAGGCGTAGAAATGAGTGGGCGTCGAATTATACAGTCATCTCTCACCTCCATATAAGGTAAGCATCCCCCTCCACAGCGTAAATCAAGCACGCCCTTCTCCCAATTCTCTGTTAAATCGAGTTTATCTTCTCCATTTGCCAGTATGTGTTGGAGAACAGCAAGTCTAGCTTCTAAAACTTCATTTCTATCATGTAGACCTTTCACGTACAAATACCTTCAATTAATGCAACACATTAATTCAGGACTTCTCGAAATAGTAATATACATGAAGGAAATACTTTCTTCATTTTCCAGGAACACATTGTTTTAATTCAAATGAGTCTATATCATAATTAAATGTGATAGATGTCTAAAATTGTAAATTATTTACAACACAATACTCACTGAATAAATAGAGGTCTCCATCAAAGACTTTAGATTTTTTCATGAGGGGAAAAGCTACCCAGCTAGCTTACGAAAAGTAAATGGTTCTATTGATGAAGAGCAGTTGACCGGACAAGATTTTCTAATTGCTAACAGTTGATCTCAAAGTTTGACCTAGAAGCGTCGGTCTTGCGCATGACACACTGTGTCATCATGTTTTACACTGTGCCAAGTCCAGTTATTTCAAAATCTGTTGATGCATGACAAAGATATAGGCCGGACAAGATATTCTAACTGCTGACCTTTGACCTCTTAGCGTGACCTTGACCTTTGAGCTAGGGACCAAGGTTTTGCGCATGGCACATCGTCTCTTCATGCTTCACATTTGTGTCGAATTGATTCAAAATACCTTGATACATGAGAGAGTAATGGACCGAACAAGATTTTTTACCTGCTGAACATTGATCTGTTAGTGTGACCTTGACCTTGGAGCTAGGGGTCTTGGACTAACAAACGACACACTCCTTTATCATGCCTCACATTTGTGCCAAATTGTTTCAAAATCTCTTGATGCAAGGCCCGGACAAGATTTTCTAACTACTGACTGTTGACCTCTATGTGATATTGACCTTGGATATAGGGTTCAAGGTCTTACGCAGGACATATCGTCCAATAATGTTACCGTTTATGCTAAATTGTCTAAAAATTCCTCGATGCATGGCAGAGTAACGGACCGGACAATAGTTTCTAAATGCTGAACTTTGACCCCTCAGAGTGACACTGACCTTGCAACTAGGGGCCAATGTCTTGCGCATGTCATACACATCATGATTTACATTTGTTTAATATATGACAGAATTATGGGCCGGACAAGGTTTTCCAACGAACGGACGGACGAAAATGATAACACTATATACCCATTTACAATAATCATTGCAGAGGAATAAAGCATGCAGAACGTAAATGGTGTAGCAACGTACACTGCGCTTTGCTTCCTGGGTCAGTAAGACAGGTCTGGGTCGATTTATAATATGCAGAAGAAGGTTCACATTGAAATCATGTCGTACAGAATAAGGTATAAAAAGGTCGGTACAAATATCAGCTTTGATCTAAGATATATTGTGACAAGAGATAGGTAAGAAAAATTATTGGAACAAGTACAGCTACTAATACATTCAAAAACTTACAGATTTAAAGTTTAATAAATAGTGATTAAAACATTTGATAGTTTTCTTCACGGTTCAATAGGAATAAAACTATCTAAAAACATGCTAATTCTTATTTACAAAAATGCAAACATTATAAACAAATGTTTTACGACGATAAGTTAATTACATACCCTTTTTCATCTAGTTCTTTCCAGAGGGCGTCTCGGTCACCCAGTAGATGGTTGCAGGATTCTAACACTTGGAGTTTTTCACTCGGAAACTTTACTTCCTGTGTCCCAAGCTTTACTGTTGTAGTTTCCATCTTCTCTGTCGAACCTTAAAATTATAAACAAAATATATTGATCCTGACATACATGCTTTGCCTGATTTTGATAACACAATCTATATAGTAAATACTGATTTATAACAGTAAATGGTGATTTATAACAATCTATAGTCAATAAAAACGTAGATGTAGATTGTTCTAAAAGATGAATTGAAAACTCTTCTAACTTTTTTTGTCTTTCGGTCGGTCAGCTGGCCAACCATTGAGTTCAATTTATACAAAGTTCAATGACACTTATTGTTATTACAGTTAGACGAATGTTAAAATATACATAATTATGTAACATAATTTAGTTTACTTTCTGAATGAAGTTATTAAGTATGAATACATTGAACTCAACCAATTTTATAATCAACAAACATTTAAATCTAAATCAATTCCTGAACAGATATAGCACACCACCCCAACAAAACAAACAAACAAACAAACAAACAAAACGAACTGTAGTCATATGCGTAAACTATGACAATGTGCATTTATCATCCTCTTAAAGCTGGCCTATCTATATATATCTAATGATAATTGATTATATTCTGCACACCGTACTAGAAACACACTGTTTTAAGGATAAAGCTACTAGCTTTATTCTCTGATTGTATAAATTAAATCAAGATTAAGTTAGTATCCAAATTTAAATAAAATATCAAACTATATAAAAAGCTTCAATTACAAGTTAAAATGTTTACCTGTAAAGCAAAGTCAGTTTAGTTCATGTTTAAACACCACTTTTTTTAAAGTAAAATGTTTCCCATTTTGGACATATTACCATTTATCTACAGTTATGATATCTAAATAGGTCATGCATATGGAGAGGTTATTTCCCTTAGATACAATCGCATCTTCTCGGCCCTTTCCGTCAAACTTCGCAGTCGGAAACTAAACATATGAACAATTGTGATTTAATTGACTATGTTTATTCCAATGTATCGAGTAAGAATAAACCTAAATTAAGTAAATGTGATTTAATTGACTATGTTTATTCCAATGTATCGAGTAAGAGTAAACCTAAATTAAGTAAATTTATAGAGTAAATTATTTACACTTATTATTATAGTTGTACAAAAAAATAATGTCTACCTGTTAATAAAAATTCGTATTTGTTTATAATTCTACATCAGTGGTCATTTTTAAATTGATTATGATTGTCAGGCATATTTTCGATTATGATTTTACCGAAATAGACTTATTTCTTTGGATGCGAAAGATATACATTTGTAATACATTATCAAAGACTACACTGCCTGATTTTGTTTATATTTAAAACTACTTTTAATCAGTATTAAGTAAGTACGAGCTAGGTTACATGTATTATGAATAATAGCCGAGGTGTGCCGATAGCTGTTTTTTTAGCAAGTCTCACGTTAAAGAGTATTTTTTTACGTTAGATGGACAATTAATTTGTGTTAAACATGTGACCGTCATTAGATTTAATTCACTCGTGAACAATTATTCATCAGATTTTTATCAGACTTATAGATAAATGAATGAATGAATGAATGAATGAATGAATGAATGAATGAATGAATGAATGAATGAATGAATGAATACATAGATAAATAAATAAGAATTAGATAGCCGGGTGTCCAGGTCATGTTTTCGTCAATTTTGTAGATCTAGAAAAAACATTCTATTTTGTAAAAAATATTGTTTTCTCTCTCTCTCTTTTTGTTTGAACACATTTTACTTTCATCCTATCTGATGGCGGATTGAATTCGCTATTCCAGGATTAATGATCCAAAGAATTCTACTCGAAAGTAAAAAGAACTTGACACTTTCCTAAAAAAACATCGTCCTGGTTGCTGTATAATTTCACGCACTCTTTTAAAAAAGTACGTCATTATTATAGTATATTTGAAACTTTTAAAAAATATTTCTTTAATATCGAGTGAGATTGTACAAAATGCATTAAAGTTACGACCGCATAATTGGTAGTCATTTATATGAAACAGTAACTTGATCTCATTTTAATGACTCCATTACTTATTTTTATTGAGTTTTAATGCCTTAATAGTAGTTTTGGTTGGCTGAGAAAAGATAGTTAGTTATTGTGTACTTGTACTTATTAAAAAATTGGGAAGTGACTCATTCACAGAAGTTTCGATATACAATTGTATTATGCACCATATTGTTTCTTTATATATATATAATATCTTTAATAAAATACGACCAAGACGAGAAAATTATTTATAACATAACATTATTTGTGTCCATTATTTGTTCAATCGGTTGACATATCGGAATCTGTCAATAGCCAATCGTAACGACAGTAACTAAATAACTCTTTAATATGAATAGAACGAACCCACGATGGTGGAAAGCCGATATAATTTTGTGTTTTCACCATCGTACTTTCGACCTTTTACCATCGTACTTTCGACCTTTCACCATCGGTGGTTCGTTATTTTCACTTTTCACCATCGTACTTTCGACTTTTCACCAATGTGTTTTCGTTATTTCGACTTTTCACCATCGTATTTTCGTGTTTTTCGTTGTTTCGAGTAATGTGTGTGTCGCGATGGCCCTAACAGGACACAATAGTCAAGAAATTATCGTTATTCTGAACGCTATTTTATACTTTAATACATAGTCACTAACCTTTTTATACTTATATATGATATATCATTATATTTCATTCACTTACTAATCTCATACTTACGAACCTAACAAAGTTACTCCTATAAATGTGAAACAAGACAGTTGTGTTGCACGAAAGGTCACGAAGTACAACTTCCGGAAATGGAGAAAAATGCGCGTCTTTTATATAATCACAAAAAAAAACAACACTTACAACAAAGCTCAATTTGATTTTCCGGATATCATCATAACAATATTTGTTAGTAGGTTTGAAGTATTATCCTTAAATGTAACCTTCCCTCTGTAAGTGGATATGATGTGAATCTGTAAATTGATATACTAAAGGGGAAGCACGCAATTAAGAAACTGCAAAACTACTATTAATAAGAAATTGTACCGACGCGTTTTGAAATGAATACTAAAACATTGAGGGACCCTAGGTAAACATGGTGTTGTGGAAAGATATGAACACTTTTTAATTAGATTAGATTATACCATACAAACAACAAATCTATTTATTATATAACTTTTGGTAAAGTAAATTTTAACATTTTCTGAAATCAGCGCGCTTCCACTAATGAAATATATATAATAATGAAAATAAATAAAATTAGCAAAATATTGTGGAGTGTTCACATGAAATGATCGAGTATAGCCGCGGTAGCACTCACTATCCACGGAAATCGCATAGAACATGTCCAGATGTCCAGAAATATTACTTACTTCCTAAGTTTATTATTTTAATGGTGCTGATAATGGTCAAGTTTGTCATGTTTTGAATGTAAAATACATTGCCGTTTGGATTGTGTGTATTTGTTACATTTCACAGTCACATTACAGTTAATTAATTTACTCATCTTGAAGTATGCCACATAAATTTATTTAATTTATATTTGAATGGACAGATCAACACACATATATTAGCACATTACACGAAGCCCCTTTAATATCCGAATCGTGATGAGTACACCTACTTGGTATTCGGTTATAACTCGTTTTAATCTAAACAAAGCGTTATTGTACGTCAAAAAGCGGTTTCATCCATACAAAAACACATACCTACTATATCAAAATCATCGTCAAATTAAGTTATTGAATGATACAAGTTTCGATATGATAGAAATTCAACCGTTTTCTGGAAATATCTCTGATATTGAACATTATGGAAGTTCGAGAGAGAAAGGGCTGTGGCAGACTCTGATAGTTGCTATTTTCCTGTCACCGATCATTGTGCTCGGTGTGCTTGGCAATATTTTCTCTTTACTGGTATGGGTCAAAGGTAAGAGTTTTAAAATATTTATCATTTGGCGATATTTATTTATTTGCTTATTTATCTACTTATCTATCTATTTTTTATTTTGATATTATTATTTTTTTTATTATTATTATTATTATTATTATTATTATCATTATTATTATTATTGTTATTATTATTATTATTATTAATATTATTATCACCGTGTTAATTCATATCGTAGGAAATTGATACAACTGAACGTGTAGACCTATGATGATAATCATCGTTAGTGATTGATATACTAATATTTTGCGATATTTCACCTCTTTATTCAGTTTTCCAAGATCTAAAGTGCAGTTTTAGGCATGTGTAGATATATGTGTATACCTACAAACCGTACGTTATCTGAAAGTTTCATCACTTATAGAATTCCATTGACCATGGCGGGAGTCGATCTAACAGCGGCTTTAACCACTAGGGCTAGTTGAATACTTTATTTTAATTGATTACAACAAAATAAGCATGTGTTATCTTTATTGATTGGAACATTAATAGGTATGTGTTATATAATAGTTATATTATTTTTTTACATCCGGTAGGTCGTCGTCGGAAAACCTCTACAGCACGTTACCTTTCAACACTGGCCATTGCCGACATAATAGTTCTTCTGACTACCGCCCTCGAATTCTGGATCACCTATGTCTTTCACATTGACGTCAAAGCAGAAGGGACTTTCTTGTGCAAGTTTTTCTACTTTATGGCGTTTTTCACGCCCTCGCTCTCAGCGTGGATCCTTGTGGCGGTTACCATTGAGAGAGCCCTCAGCGTGTGGATTCCTCATAAGATAAATGTAGCTTGTCGACCGATCACTGCCCTTGTTGTGTCAGGTAACTTTCACATTTATATTTACTCGTTTATTCATTATTCACTATTTTTGTACTCTGGTTACCCACCTGCGCATCGGCCGAATGTTTCACTATTGTTCACTTCCTCAACATTAGCGTATTCACTTAGCTGGAAGAGAGCGTATACTCTGGTGTACTTACTCTTGATGTTATTTATTTTCCTTTGTCCTTCGGGATCAACAAGGTTCAATACTGTTTATGCCGATGCTCAGGGTACAAAACACGGTACATATTTCCATCGTCCCTCATGAACAGACACAGTTAACCGAGCCTGCGCCTTTTACAGATTAAATTTGTGTTTCTTGTCCAAGAGGGATCTCCCGTCTTCCAGTGAAGATGGGTGTCATATTTATGATTTTTTATGAGTTAATTCTGGCGCAAAAGCCAACATTTACATTCAGGGTACTAATTTCAAATTACTGCGCTTAATGTATTTGCTTGATAACTTCTATAAAACTCTCAATTTGGCAGTCTTTGGAAGAAATATGGTAACTAATTGAACAAATTTGTTAATGGATATTACCCGAATGCTTTTAGACAATTCACCATTTTAAACATCTTAAGTCATATTGTTGTTTTGTTTTGCATGTAGTTGCACTTTACTGTAACAGTGATATATTCATAATTTTCTTCGCAGGCGTGGTATGTTTTATTCTATGTTTACTGTACCTCCCTGTGCTGATGGGAGTGGATGTTGTCAGTATTTTTACATCAACCAAGGCGTGGAATGAATGCCGGCCATTAACTGATACTATATACCGGAAGAACCTTTATGAATGGTTCTACATCGATTTGTGTTTATTTTTCATTGTGCCTTTTCTGTTGATGCTGGTGTGTAATATTTTTATCTTAGCCAAAGTTGTATGTCTTGCTCAGAAGCGTAGCTCTTCTCTACACGCCCAGAGGCAGAACAAGCCTTCCGGAAAAAGTAAGAAAATGCTGAAAACTGTTACCAGAAGAATTGTTATACTTACAGTGACATTCATAGTGTGCAATGCACCGCTTTCTATCCTTAACGTTATCGTGTCATCACCGGACGCAGACGACATAATTGACGCAGAGCACGTGCAGTATTACCGGATACCATTTCACGTGATGATGTACGCGAACAATGGTGTAAATTTCCTACTTTACTGTCTGATTGGGTCAGGATTTAGAAAGGATTTCATGGGCATCATACGACCTAGTAGCAGAACATCAACAACAAGATAAATCAAGCTTTGCACGAGGACAAAGAACGCGCATGCTCGTCATGTACTTCCAGTAGGGTATACATGAATACGAATAGTGAATATATTTCATGTCACTATGGCACTATATATCTAGTTAATTAAAATAAGTGTACAGTGTATTTATTAGCTGGTAAAAGGGAACATGTGAAAATGTGATATTACTAATGATGAAATTGATGATTTGTATTAAGGTGAACATGTACGTAATAGAAGGTCTGTAATACCATGAATAATTTTGTTGTCGCAAGAAATTTGAATATAAATATATGAATGTTGTTGGTAAATGTGAGATATCTGATCCGATATTTTATATCTGTATATAGAGGATTATAAACTGTTCTATAACTAAGTATTATTTTTATCGTGTAAATCTCTGTTAACTTTTTTTTCAAGGAATATTTTATAAAAAAATAAAGTGGTTGAGTTCCTGTAAACGACTTTTAAGTTTCTTTAGGGACATCTAAATGATAAGAATCACCTAAATATTTTATCTATTTTGTTGTATCAAGCATTTAAGTATAGGTGTTTGAATTTAGATGAAATTTTGATTTCAAATTATTACAAACAAACATGTTTAAAATTATGATGAAGACAAAACGAAAATAAAACTGCAAGCGGTCATTTTGCTTCGTAGTTACTGTAATAACAGCAGGGTAAAAAATATTCCTTGTAACAATTTTGTCAAAGGTAACCACTAGTGTTACTAAGATGGACACGGCTTGGGAGGATTGCAGCTGAAATTAAGGGCATACTGAAATTTTAATATGTATATAGAGGATATTGAATGAGTGTAAGTTCAATACTGAATTTATTGCACGAGTTGAATAAAATTATATTATGCGAGCCTCTGGCGAGCATAATATTATTTTATTCAACGAGTGCAATAAATTCAGTAATAAACTTACACGAATTTAATATTCTATTTATCACATACCCAAAATAAAGACCGTTTAAAGTGAAATAAGAGTCATTTTTCATTGACGCGCCTATAGTATAACGCTAACATTTAGCGCGTCTTTACACTATGTTTGTATAACGCTAATGACGTCACGTCAAAATATATGCACGGCCGTGCAATACCATATTTACGGAGTCGCAAAATCGGCACGGGTGTGTGATAAATATAAATAAAACAATTGATGATATTTTTTATAAGTGTACAATGCATATATAGAGGATATTTGTTTGTTTGTGTGTAAGATGAAATTTAATACATCAAGTGGGCTTTAAAAACAGTATTCTCACGAGTGGCGTAGCCACGAGTGAGAATACTGTTTTTAAAGTTCACGAGATGAAATAATATTACATCTTACACAACAAACAGACAAATTTTCTTTTTATTTTATGCTTAAAAACAAGTTAAAACGAAATTTCCATAATTTTAACGTTAATATTAAAACTGTTTCCCCCATTGAGAGCCCCATTTAGTCGGAATTTCTCATTAAAAACAAGAAGTCTTGAGCTGAAAAATAAGTCCGCCAATCAACGTTAAATGACGCTGATATTTATTCATTTTATCAAAAAAATATGAATGATTGCTTGTTTTAATAATAAAAACAAACAATTCTTGTAGGAGAAAAAGTCCAACCATCCATCCATATTTCTGTTACTTACTGCGAATTTATATTAGACCTGACTTTGTAAATTGTAAGCGGCAGCCATTTTTTAAAGTTGTGTATTTCATGAATGAAAATTATTGTCTAAGATTCAGAGGGATATGATTTGGATTTGTTAGTCATACACCTTTTTAAAAGAAAGAAAACTTATGTGAGGATTGTAACAGGCAAAAAATAAGTGTTGACAGATGTGAAAACATTCAGAAAAGGAGCTAGGAAAATGGAAAACTTGGAAGCTTGCTCAAGAACGCTGGGTTGTTTTACTTATTCTTCGAGTGATGGCTGTCAATGCTTTTCAATTTTTCATAAAGCATACGGCAGTTATTGCTCGTAGGATACTTTAATATGCCCAAATGCATCATAAATTATAATTCTATGCTTTCGTAGCAGTTGCATTTTATGTCTGTTGTGGAGTTCAACTTTCCTTTGGGCTCGGGAATTGCATAATATTTGCTGATATCAGTAATTTAACTTTTACTCTCAAATTTGTTAATACAACACACAAGCAAGCCAAAGCTCATATTTCTAAAATAGTATTTCTTTTTTACATTTGAATATTAGTTACTTAACTAATTGACAGGGCAACGTAACTTACGCATGTTTCTAAATTTAAGAAAGGTGGCAATTTTTTGCTTGAGTTATCCTCCCTGTATTATTTATTATACGACCATACACCCAGCAGAGCTATTCAAAAAGTGTCTTCTTACGTCTGTAAGATATGGTGGCTGATTTGGTACATTGCGCGTTGCGTTGTCGGTATCGTTATCGCTAGCGACAACACGACAAAGCGCCAAACAGCGCATTGTCGCGCTCTCGTCTTGTCGTCCTGTCTAGTGAAGCACGCCAAACGGCCCGTGGTCGTGTGGCGTGATGTCGCCATTTCGCTTGGCTTATATGCCAATCCTTCGATTTGAACCTAGCGACAATGTGACATTGCGACAAGCCGCACGACAACGCACCGTTTGGCGTACATCGTTAGCGACAGGACGACAAGATGAATGCCCGACAACGCGCCGTTTGGCGCTTTGACGTGTTGGTGCTAGCGTGTTAACGCACAAAAGCATTCCAAATCAACCACTACAGTAAGGAGACACTTTTAAATAACCGTTACTTTCTACGTGGATTATGTACAGATGAAATATACGGTGTCCTTCTTTGGACATTTAAAGGACTGCTATTGACATGCACTATTTTTTTCTAAAAGTTTTGTCCGCCTTTCTGTATTTTATAGATAAAATAGCAAGATTTTACATTCTCGCAAGATACTTTTCGCGCCATTCAACATTGAATTTGTCTCATGCTTAACTTAAATCCTCGTGCGAATCGAAATATTAAAATCTTCGCGATGATTAAACTTAATTTTCGCATGTTTCATTCGAGAACTGTAACTTTTTTACAGTACTAGTGACTATAGAGAAAGTCAACGAAAGAGAATGTTAAATCTCGCTTCTTATCTATTAAGAACAGCCAGTGCGCTGCTTGATAGTAAATCAAGAGCCTTAAGATTTTTCAATAAGGGCGATAGTTCTGTCAAAATTCACAATTACAATAGCTCTCCCTATATTTCGAATAGTTGAGCTAAAACAAGAGATTTAGTCAATCTTCACAGGCGATATTTTAACTGTCTCAAACAGGACACTTTAGAAACCGATGGAAAGTAGTGCGCATCTCATGAGAAAATTCAGTTTATCGAGAAATTGGATGGCCATTTCCAGGAGCAAAGTAACTGTTGATTTTAGCATTGACGAAACTACTAGTTGGTCGTTGGAAGATGGTACACCACTTAGTTGTTTTTTTTATATCGTCTGACATTCAATAGAAAACAACATTAAAGTGACATTTAATGTACCCACCGCCACACACACATAAAAAACAAATAAAAACAACTGCCATAAACGGCTGAGCATTGCGTTAAGGTAAGCATGTGAATATGGAAACTTACTAAATTTGGGGTCCAAAACGAAATCCATACAACATTGACGCAAAACAAGTCAGAGACGATTTCAATGTTGACTGACATTTTTTGAAATTTGGAAATTGGTTAGATTTCAGCCAATTTAAAATTTTATTTTTGTAAAAATGAATTCTTCCCTTGATAGGCCAAAATTCCTGGAATCCCAACTTTTATTCCAAAAACTTTTTCAAATAGTTTTATTTCTTTATTTTTTCAACTAAATATAAGTCTTTTATAAATTTTTTCAAATTTATAATTAAAAATTTTTTTAAATTTTTCGGTTTTTTTAAAAATGTGTTTTAATACTTCTTATTTTTTTCTAATTTCTTCTTATTCTTTAAAAGACATTTTTGAAGGAAACCGCTATCCAAATATCCCTTTGGATTTGAAATTTTTCAAAAATTTTTATAACTTTTAAAAAATTTATAGGGTAAAATTTAAACCAATGTAATTTCTTGTTAAAAAAATTTCCTTCTTAGCTAAAATTCACAACGTGAAAAACCAAAACTTTATTTTATTTTGTAATTTTCAAATTCAGTTTCAAATTTTTTTTTTTGAAATTTCAATTTTCAAGATAAATTTACAAAATTAAAAAAACAGGATTGATAGGAGCTTAAAATCTTTTTTTAGAAACTTCTTAAGATATTCAAAAGTATGTAATAAAAGGTGAAATTTAACCTTTTGTTTAAATATAAAAAATTTTACAAAAACTTTTTTTTTTACATGTACAAAAATTTAGCAAAATTTTCATTCTGGGTTTGGTTTTAAACGAACCGATCTTAAAAATAAATACGACTCCCAATTTTTTGAAATAGACCGTGGTCCACGGGTTTTTGCCGGGGACACAAGGAACCCGGTTTGCTTTATTTATTTTTCCCCTGGTTCAAAAAAAATTAAAATTTAAACTAAAAGGGGCTCGCCTAGATGCAAAATAAATATACAAATAAGGTTTTTTTACCCTAAGGTTAAACACATATTGCGGGCAAGTCAGCTAAGACGTGACAATTTCGGTGCGACCCCCCATCGGTCCAGAATGGTCGTTTCACTCTTTTTTATTTTTTTTTCAGCTTAAAATTTTTCGAGTTGTTTATATAATCTTTTAATTTTTATAATTATAAATTTTTGTTGACACATTTTCTCTTTTTAGTTTTTCCAAAAACTCATTTTCCCCGCCCCTCGCTTTTTATTTAAAAAAAAGAAATCGTAAAAAACTTTTAAAAAATAGCAAAAAACACAAGTTCATGATCATTATATTCCGAACACACTTTTTTTGAATACACTTTTTCAAAAATTGACTTTCAGGGCGTTTTTCCCCTCATGATGTTTTTTTCGGTTTGTTTTTTCTAAAGATACGGTGTGCCGCAGGATGAAAATTACGACGGACCGGAAATGATGCGTATACCCTTGACACCGTGAAATTACCAAATATAATTTTCACGGATAAATCAGTAATCCACTGAAAAGCATAAAATAAAAAATGGTGTTTTTTATTTGTAATTTTTTTTTAGTAAATTTGGAATTTTCTCCTTGAAATTCGGGGGACAAAATAAATCTGACAAAAAAGCTTAAGTCGGGTGCATTGTATATCATTGTGTTAGCTTTTAAGCCCGACTTGTGAGAGAATTTTTTTCAAATGATCACTGCAAGACAGCGTCTTCATTTTGTTTGTACCTCTGGTAAACCTGTATACTGTACATGTACATCTCACAGGAAAATTTGGGCAAATACATGTAATTCTTCTTTTATATTTATATTTAATTATTTGTAAACCTTCTCCGCTGTTTAAATTGTTTTGTACATTTATGCTATATACTGTCTTGCCATATATAATGCATTGTATATCCTCATGGGATATATAGCCTTATGGAATATTCAAAATAAACTTATATACGTATTTAGATATACTATACGTAAAGTTTTAAAATTTATCAGTTTATGTGTGCATGTGTGTGTGCGTGCGTGTATGTTATATGTATGTATGATGTTATGTTATAATATGCGATGCGATCCGATCCGATATGATGTAGTATGTATGAATAGTTACCACAAATGATTTGTAATAACTTTTATAGATCTTTCTCTTCCTGTTCAATAGTTAACTATAAGGAACTATAATACTGCATGTGATGTTTATATAAATTTAATATATAAGTCCTTTTAAATATTTGAAAAAAAAGAAGAAAAAAAAACCGACACATTTTTTCGCGCATAAATACTTACTGTACCCACTTTGCATAAGCCACATAAACCGGTTGAGATTTCAATGCACGATTTTCTCGTGATTTCATGGAAAACACAGAAAATATTTGACGAGGCATGTAGGTCATTGTTTTACACTCACAGTGAAGTTAAGATCTTAGACTAAATGTAAGTATCATTGTATTTACTAAATTTATTATTTGAGATTTAACAAATTTTACAATTTATATGATATCATTTTGAACAACAAAACAATTATTTGATATATATACGAGTTTCTCGAACATGGTCATCTGGTCACTGTACATCGAACATTTCGAAATGATGGACAAAATGGACCGGTTGTTGGCTTATTTTTTCCTCAACTGACTGAAAGACGTTTCAGCGTTTGGTCTGCTGAAAAAAATAATAAAGAGACAAGCATGTTCTGTGTCAATAAGGGCATATTCTGTGCTGTCATGCTTTGTTCAACTAATATTTTTTACTTTGTTGAACCTACAGTAAAGAAACGCCCGGAACACTTTGTCACATGATTTTGCGATATATTGATAATACATGTATTTCGTTTTTGTTTTGTTTTTTAATTATTTTAATTTTAATTTGCTTTTTACAACTGTTACAGAAGATGGGATGCATATCACTGACTGTGACTGTGATTTTTACTTCCTAAGGAAGGCCAAATAAGACATAATGGGTTAAGAGCAAATTTTTTACCTGAATAATCTAGAACTTAATTTTGAAATGCTAATTATGTCAGAAAAGTAGCAAAATGTAAACAAAGTAGTATTTTGACTACAAAATGTAAATAACTGTTACTGTACTTTGATGCCAAATAGCAGCAGAATTAATAATATTTCTGCATATCTATGTTGTATTATTTTATGTCTATCTCCAGACCACAGGTGCTTGATATTCTGCCAATAAGTAAGAATTAGATTTAAATTATAATAGGGGTAGACATTAAACTTTAATTCTTATCTATTGACACAATATCAAGCTCCTTTGCTCTATACACACCTTTTCCGTAATATATAATGAAGTTATTAGACATTGCTGAGTACAATATTGAATTTTATTGGACTAATACTCGTACATAGCTATTAGACCAATATTGGACGAGGTGCTATCAGTTGTGTACTCGACAATGCATGATGACATCTTTATTTCGCTTTTATTTTCACACAACTTGGTCACTTTGAACACAATAAGGATTTGATATGAATCAGTTTGGACGAAGTTTACCTGTCTAGTGATTTGATATGACGTTTTTGGACTCAGGAAGTAAAACCAAGATTAGATGGAGTACAATATATTAATTTAAAGGAATTTTCGATTGGCGAAATGAAAACGAGGCTAAAATAAACTGACTAGATTGGATATCATAATAATCTATATTTGAAAATCAAATGGTGTGGAAGTTAATTGCTTACATTTTATGAGATGTGACATAACGGTACATGTTGACGTGGTGGTAGAAGTTTACTATCCTTCTCAAATCATTTATCATATATACATCATACATCTTTAAGGAATAGGAGAAACATTTTAGACCAACCACCTTCGTATATATGTGTACATGATGAATTAGTCCCAACACCATGGCGCTTATGTAGATAGAATTATAACGTTAAGTACCAAACAACGATATGTACATTTATATTTGTAGACGAAAAATCATGGATATTTCTGGCTTTTTACTATTTCTTGGCATGACGGTGATGCAATTCAGCGAAGTGTCTTCCGTCACATTGTCATATAGTAAGTGTATTTATTTCCACTCGTTGTTGAAGATTTACTCGGTGCACATAAGTATGGATTAGTTGATTTAGATGTTGAGTCCTGGCGTCTGTGGCCAAGCCGCTGTGAGTTCGAATCCCGCCTGCGTCTTTGAATTCTTTCAGGCTCAAACATGGTGCCTGTCCGTGCATGGAATAATGCACGGTAGGGTTCCTGAGGTCTTCCTCCATCAGTAAAGCTGTAAAGTCGCCAAAACACCTTTACTGTGTTGTACGATGTAACTCCTGCCCCCACCCCTCGAATAAAAATGTTGTTGAGTCTAAGCTGTATGAGTTACATTTAATTATTCATAATATTAAATAAATAAATAAAAAATTAAGTAAATAAAAAGTGATAATGTTAATAATACAAACTATATATAATAATTTGATAAAACTTTGTTAGCATCCTATGTCATTTGCGCTGTATGTGTACTACTGTGTACAATTGTATACGATTCCATTGGTACAGTATTCAATCGGTACAGTTACATGTACACAGACAGCCATTCGTGTGTATGTGCGTGCGTGCGTCCGTGTGTGTGTTTTTTATTAACGAAACCGCCTGTTTTGATATACTACTGTGTTGACAAAGTCGTTTTACGTTTCACTAAAATTGTTTCATGGATAGTTTGTACTTCGTTTAAACAATGTTGCACATCTAGATATTATTTTATCGTTTTTATGCCCCCGGGCATATAGTGATTGAACCGTCCGTCCGTCCGTCTGTCCGTCTGTCCGTACGAGGTTAACCTAGAACGACAAGTTGGATTTTTCTTAAGTTCTACCTGTACCAATGGCTTCTAAGTTTACACACTTACTAATCAATACAAAGTACACAATCTGGGCAAGTTTAATAACTCTGGCTTTCATATTTACCAAGTTATTGCCCTTTTCAGCACTTAGAAAATGAATAATGGTTAACCTAAAACGGCAAGTTGGAAATATCTTAAGTTCTATCTATACTAATGGCTTCATAATTTCCACACTTACTTATCAATACAAAGCACACGATATTGCCAAGTTATATAACTGTGTCATCCATATTTCCCAGTTATTTCTCTTTTTTCACTTTGAAAATAGGGCCTTGTCTGGTTAACCTATTTCGGCAAGTTGAATTTATCTAAATTGCTTAATTTCTTTACTGATATCTTTCATATTTAGTAGGTGGATACCTTTGATTGTCCTCTAATTTTTTTTAGAGTAAGCGGTCTCTAGGGTCAAGGTCAAGGTCACTGGTTTAAAAAATAAATATAAACCTTTTTGCTCATACAGCCTTTATTTTTTAGTTAATGTCTTAGTTTAATACAAACACTTCCTTATTTGGATGTAGTATGGGGTCATTTGGGTCAAGGTCAATGTTACCAATGTCAATGTCACCAATGTTAAAAATAGATTTTTACATTTTACAGGTGTATTGACCTTATTCTATAGACAGATGTTATTTATAATTGATAGAAACATAAACTTTGATGGAGTTAGTGGTCAGTTGGGTCAAGGTCACCAGTGCTAAAAATAGATTTTTACACATTTGCTCATACAGCCTTTATTAAGTGACAGATATATTTTATATTTGGTAGGAAGATAACTTGCATGGTATTCATCCTTTTGATTGGGGTAGGGATCAGTGGGTCAAGGTCACTTGTGCTAAAAATAGATTCTTACACTTTTGCCCATACAGCTTTTATTTATTGACAGTTGTATTTCATATTTGGTAGGAAGATAACTTGCATTGTATTCTTCCTTTGGATGGAGTAAGGGGTCAGCTGGGTCAAGGTCACAAGTGCTAAAAATATATTTTTACACTTTTGCCCATACAGCCTTTATTTATTGACAGATGTATTTCATATTTGGTAGGAAGATAACTTACATGGTATTCTTCTTTTGAAGAAGTTAGGGGTCAGTTTGGTCAAGGTCATCAGTGCTCAAAATAGATTTTTACACTTTTGCCCATACAGCCTTTATTTAATGACAGATGTATTTCGTATTTGGTAGGAAAATAACTTGCATGAAGTTGAATATTTTTCAACTTCACAAGTCAGAGCAATGACTTGGCAACTTATATTTTTCACAATTACAAAATGCCATGACTTTGTCAAGCTATAAAACTTGTGTTTACAATTTTGTGGTGATTTTTCTGTCCATAACTGAGTGAATGGGTAAACATTTATGAAGTATTGCTACTGACAAGAATCTGAGCCGAGGGCATTTGTGTTTAACAAACACGTTCTTGTTTTAGAATGTTTTCCAAACAACACAATCTTAGTATCCGGACTACCAACTGATTCTGCGGCGTTGCATTATTTTGCCATTCAAGAAGCTGATGGAACAAACTGTAATGTGACTGGGAGCATTCCTGATGGAACAGCCCTAGTTTCTGCCTGTAATAAGGTAAGTAATTCTTCTTTAAATCGTTTGAAATATATCTTAATTACGATGAACGAAAGTTGTTCCTCGTTTTCAGGTTATACTTGACATAGGTACTGACTTTCTTATTGATTCTATTGACGGATATTCGCTTAAAATACAAGAGATTACAAAACATTAATTCATATCGATTTTTATTCAAAGATGAGAAAATCAATTCATTTAATTTTGGATAAAACCATTGAAAATAAAAAAGTAAACTTATATACACGAAATAAATAAATAATAGGTGTATGTTGCTTTACTCGCCTTCGTTTCATCATCGCATTCAAAATTGAAAGAGTTGCTTTTTGAAATAAAATGTTCACAATTTCTATACAATCATATGAATTCGCAAAAAAAAAAATGATTCTCAAATATATGCGAAAATAATCTGACGCAAATAAAACGATTCTACGGTACATAAATTGGGTTTTAACAGATAGATACCAGTATGTCGTTTTACATTCGATTTAATTGTACTTTACAGTTCATTTAGAACATCTAGAAACAATCTGATTGAAGTTCAGATCTACTTACGTTATTTCTTGCATGCGTAGCGTTGAACAGGAGCTATTTTTTTTATCAGATTGCATTAAAAAATGAGCACTTTATTTTTTCAGGACGAGCCTATTTACTTTTCATACGGATCATATAGTGGCATGGCGGAAAGCCAAATATATGGTGGACAACAAGTTACTACTATTAACATTACTTGTATTGAAATCAGTGACAGTGGTGTAGCTAAAACCATCAGCAATAACTTTTCAGCCGCGTAAGTATATACCGGTCCTCGCAGGTTACAGACCTTGTTGCGCATGCGCACTGAAAGTATGCTGATAATCAGAAATTTCCTTTGTTGTCATATAAAACAGTCAGTCAACATAACAGCCACTGTTAAGACATTATCTTGCCCTGTTACTATTGGTGATTTTTAAGTCAAGGTCAATGTCTTTATAATTATATGTATTTGATGTAACCCAGGTTCTTTGTTAGGTTTATTTTGTATTGCTCCCAGAAAAATGCTTAACTCTGTGTAACATGTACAAGACGTCTGTTACGCAGCATTCACATCCCTACTTCTAATCAAGGTTTATTTGTTTAGTTCTTGATTGGTTATTTTATAAATTTCAGAATACAATTTCAAGACGAACAAACTCTTTCTCCCGAATATGACATCATATCCACGTTGAACCCGACGTCAGCACTTGTTGGACAGGATGTTACTTGGACAATAATATACCCAGGTAGATTTGTCTGTATAGACACTCATTCTGTGTTAATTCTGGGTTTGAAATCAATGGCCAAATGTTACCGGTACAGACCAAATTCAACTGGCACAACTGTGCCTTTCTGTGCATGTTTTAAACTATTCGCAATTTAGTCAGTACATACTTTGCATGAAATTCCCCAAAATGTTGAATGGTTTTGTCCTGGATCCTGGGTTATAAACAATTACTTTAAGCTCAAACTGAAATTTCAGGTATCTGATTGGTCAGAAAGTGGCACAATATGTACTCTGATATCGATTTTTACAAATGTTTAGTGCCATTAATTTTGTCAAGAGTTCAAGTACAGATATGGTTTTGGAACTTTGTCAGCAAGGTTCACGTCTAGGGTTGTGCATTATTACATTGTTAAGCATTGTGCGAACACTTATTGTATTGTATATAAGAAATGCTATTTATAAAAGATTTAAGAGCGAGTGACACTAGTGGAATTCGACCTTGAGTTTACAGTGCTATTTTGCATTTCAGCTACTAATGTACCGTTATAATTTTATAACACTTTGTTTGTAGCAGAACTATGCGTTTCTGACCGATTTTTAGTGAAAAAATCACGACAAAACAGTGAATATGAAGTAAAAAGTTTGCTTGTGACCTCAGAAAAACAAGTAACATACCAAACCACCTCTGGATTGTCGAAATTTTGTGACCCCCCCCCCGGGTAAAATTCACTGATCTTCGCATGATTGTTTTAAGTTATACTTAGATAGACACCACTAAACTGATGTAGAATTTTTTTTTATGCCCCCGGGCATATAGTAATTGAACCGTCCGTCCGTCCCTCCGTCTGTCCGTACGAGGTTAACCTAGAACGGCAAGTTGGATTTTTCTTAAGTTCTACCTGTACCAATGGCTTCTAAGTTTACACACTTACTAATCAAAACAAAGTACATGATCTGGGCAAGTTACATAACTCTGGCTTAAATATTTACCAAGATATTGCCCTTTTCAGCACTTAGAAAATGAATAATGGTTAACCTAAAACGGCAAGTTGGAAATATCTTAAGTTCTATCTATACTAATGGCTTTATAATTTCCACACTTACTTATCAATACAAAGTACATGATATTGCCAAGTTATATAACTGTGTCATCCATATTTCCCAGTTATTTCCCTTATTTTCCTTTTGAAAATAGGGCCTTGTCTGGTTAACCTATTTCGGCAAGTTGGATTTATCTTAAATTTCTCCTAATTGCTTAATTTCTTTAATGATATCTTTCATATTTAGTAGGTGGATACCTTTGATGGTCCTCTATTTTTTTATGGAGTAAGCGGTCTCTAGGGTCAAGGTCAAGGTCACTGGTTTAAAAAATAAATATAAACATTTTTGCTCATACAGCCTTTATTTTTTAGTTGATGTCTTAGTTTAACACAAACATGCCAAGGGAGGTCCTCCTTCTTTGGGTGTAGTAAGGGGTCATTTGGGTCAAGGTCAATGTTACCAATGTCAAGGTCACAAATGTTAAAATAGATTTTTACATTTTTACAGGTGTATTGACTTTATTCTATAGACATATGTTATTTATAATTGATAGAAACATAAACTTTGATGGAGTTAGTGGTCAGTTGGGTCAAGGTCAATGCTACCAATGTCAAGGTCACCAGTGCTAAAAATAGATTTTTACACATTTGCTCATACAGCCTTTATTAAGTGACAGATATATTTTATATTTGGTAGGAAGATAACTTGCATGGTATTTATTTTATGCATGATAGGGATCAGTGGGTCAAGGTCACTTGTGCTAAAAAAAGATTTTTACACTTTTGCCCATACAGCTTTTATTTATTGACAGATGTATTTCATATTTGGTAGGAAGATAACTTGCATGGTATTCTTCCTTTGGATGGAGTAAGGGGTCAGTTTGGTCAAGGTCACCAGTGCTAAAAATAGATTTTTACACTTTTGCCCATACAGCCTTTATTTATTGACAGATGTATTTCATTTTTGGTAGGAAGATAACTTACATGGTATTCTTCTTTTGGATAGAGTTAGGGGTCAGTTTGGTCAAGGTCACCAGTGCTCAAAATAGATTTTTACACGTTTGCCCATACAGCCTTTATTTAATGACAGATGTATTTCATATTTGGTAGGAAGATAACTTGCATGAAGTTGAATATTTTTCAACTTCACAAGTCAGAGCAATGACTTGGCAACTTATATTTTTCACAATTACAAAATGCCATGACTTTGTTAAGCTATATAACTTGTGTAACATTTTTTTAAATATTGCTACTGACAAGAATCTGAGCCGGGGGCATTTGTGTTTAACAAACACGTTCTTGTTATTTTTAGCATCTTACAAGATACAGATAACAACTTGCACGGCTTATCCTGGTACAGCTGTTCACGCTTCCGAATCCATTGAACTGATTTCAACATGGTATGTATAACATGTGAATAATAAATATTGCTAGATTTAATAAAACCAACACAGTTAAATGACAAGTTCCATAGGCATTTGGATTTCATTTTGACTTCTGGCATACGGAACATCACGGCTATTATCAATGATATTGTTCTTATCCGAAAACTGACGGAAAGAGCCGAGAAAATTTGTAAATTTACGCCACCCTCTTCCAGTATTAAACCTGACAAATAAGTTTACCGTTTTTTGCCATCCTTTTTCATGGGACAATAATTTGTATACTATATCAGAAAACATGATGATTTTTATAGTTTAAATTATTGTTTACTTTTATGTGGTCGTGATTGTACACAGTAACATAGAAATATTGCTAATAGTAAAATTATATTTATTTACTAACATTTAAATGATAATTTTGTGATTTTTTTTTCAATTAAGCTTCCAATTTTTGGCTCCTTATTCCCTTTCACTCGATCTGTCCCCCGAACACCTAATACTTTTGCAATTTGTTCCAATTCTGAGCATTACAACCAGGATTACCATATCCATGTATGTGTATCCCATTAAAAGATGCTCATTGTTTTTTTTACATATTGAGCTTTTTTAGGAGGAGAGAGACCCCCATCTACTCTCATGCTATGATATGTTAGTTTGGCTTTCACGCCATTTTAAAAGGTTTGGTCATATCTTGGCAGTTGGTCCTCCTAACAGGCTTTCAAGTAAATTCAAATTTCTCCAAACACTCCTCCTGGATTCACAAATCTAATGTTCTCCCTACACAGTAAAGCGGGTGAAGTTGTGGCCCTCATATAGGGAACCATCTAGCTTGCGCAAATTGGACATAAATTGTGGATAGTTGATATCAGTTTCACTTTAATTTGTGTTTACTTTAATCTCACTTTTCCATCAGCAAAATAATCATGTATTCTTAATTATAATTACTTATTTTCAGGTGCTCTAGTATAAGTGAACTTATTACTAATTTCGTCTCAAACGGTAACAACACGAATGCCGTAGCAACAATGAATGCCTTCAAATTTTATGGCTATGACTATATGTTTCTGATGTGCGATGTCCTTGTTTGTCCCCCGGGATCAAGTTCATGCACAGTAAGTATAACAGAACTATATGTATACATGTACAGTAACACAAATAAAAATGCACTTTGATGTAATAATACCACGACGTTCAGGGACCCTTTTCAGTCATGTGACCTGACAAAAAAAACTATACATCAGTCATACAACCGCTTTTAAGAATTATTTGCCTTTTTGTGTTTATGTTTTACGTTTGTTAACTTGATAATTACAACAGAATTCCAGGATAGTGTCAAGAAAGTTTAGACTTAATGGATTCCTTCTTGAAACCAAGAACATTGAGGATTAATATGAGCTGGACTTCCTCATGTCCGTCAATTTTTTACACATGTAATAAAATGAAATTACTTGAATTAGTGCAATTTATTAGCCAAAAAAGCTACACAAGGCCCTAAGTTTGAACAAGCCGGTATGACTTATACGAGGGCAAATCCAGATATTCGTAGACTTTTCGTGTAGTCATGTGTTACAAAATTCATCTTTAGCTTTGCACTATGTTAAACGAAAGAAAAGAAATTGTCCATTTAAAATACCACATGTGTAAATGTATCGATACAATAAGCATAACATTTAATGGCATGAAGCCTAAACTATAAAACTTAAATTTTTAACAAATTAGCTGGGGCTCTTAAAACAGAAAGATTTGCAAAGGATAACTAAGAAATATACCCTGAAATAAATTGAAAATCTAATTTTTATGTTATTTTTTATAACGAGAAAAATTATTCTGGATAAAAAAGTGAGCGAATTATCTGAAATTTTGCAAACAAGTCATTGGTCCAGATCTACATGAAATGGAACATTTATCTCAAAAAATATTACCAGTCCAATCATGTAAAAAAAACCTAATGAAGTTCTTTCAACTACATGTAAAATATTGTCTTTTCATATGTTTTTGTTTTACTGTTGCAACAAAGCTTTATTGTGAATTAAGCTTTCTGTATGCTAATTGTAACATTTAAGGATGTTTATTGTGTTTATGTCATCTAATTAGAACCTGGTAAGCTTGCACATGCGCACATATTGATGTTTAGAATCTGGCAAGCTAGCACATGCGCACATATTTATATTTACAACCTGGCAAGCTTGCACATGCGTACATATTTATATTTACAACCTGGCAAGCTTGCACATGCGCACATATTTATATTTCTGCTAATTTTCTCCATTTGGAAAATGAAATCTGTCACACAATGCCGTTTTAAAGCAGGTAAAGTCCCTTAAAGTTCAACTTTTCTATTTTTAGACATCATGTAGCCAAGGAAGAAGAAAGAGAAGTGAGATTGAACATCATGGTGAATACATAAAAACCATCAGTAGTGTTTTACATCTTGCAGACACAAAGTCTGCTGCTTCAGTAATAAGTAAGTTACGTCCGTTTTTAGGTCCGTTTCATTTTAAAATGTGCCCTTTCGTTGTCATTGTTACAAGGGAAGGACCACAAATACATTTTAGCCGCGCCATGATAAAAACCAACATAGTGCGTTTGTTACTAGCATGGATTCAGACCAGCCTGCGCATCCGCGCAGTCTGATCAGGATCCATGCTGTTCGCTATCAGTTTCTCTACTTGTTATAGGGTTTGTAAGCGAACAGCATGGATCCTGATCAGACTGCGCGGATGCGCAGGCTGGTCTGGACCCATGCTGGTCGCAAACGCACTATATGTTGGTTTTTTAACGACGCGGCTCTTATGTATACACTGTCCACGAGGTGATATATTTTTCCTCGTAAATCGTGTTCAATGAATAATTAATGAATATTACTCAATATAAATAAATACATGTATAACTAACTAAGGAACGAATAATAATAAGATATAAATGAATATTACTTGGTTAAGAATGTTAAGTAATTAAGAAATAAATGAAAAATGCAAAGTTATGAATTAATATTTCTAACTGAAAGTACATTTTACTAATTTATGACTACCTTATGAATAAATATTTTTGAGTAAGTTTTGAATGAATGAAATGAATGGAATGAATGAATGAATGAATGAATGAATGAATGAATGAATATTGTTTAATCAGTGAACCCCTTTATTTTTTTCAGTTTCCGGGTCTTTCGTATCATTTCTTCTTGCGATCCTTCACTTATTGTTTTGAAATCTTGCTGGACGCGTGAAATATGTGAACAAAAAACGAAGCAATTACATTATTTAATGGAATTGTTGTGAATGTAACCATGCTATCAGATAATTAAAGAAGATGTTAAAACAATATTATTGTTGTCAGATTTTCAGTGTCGTTTTGGAAATAAAAATATAGCATAGAAATATAACCTTTCTGTTATTCTGTCAATAATAAAACAAATGCATCATAGACGTGTTTGTTTTTATATATTTTCTTATTATTTTTTTATGCTCACACCAAAAGAAAAAAATAATGGAAGAGTTATATTAGTTTTGTATCATCCGTCCATTCCTGTCCGTTAACTTATTCTGACCGGTCCATAGCTTTGTACATCTCTTATGAATGGATTTTGAAATAATCATGTATAAACGTGAAGCAAAATTCGACTTAGATATGTGGCCAAAAGATCTTGAAAGGTCACACTTCTGTCTTCAAATTAATTGTTTTATTGTAGTGCACTGACGTTCGTGTTCGGACAAGAATTCTATCTATCTTGTCTTGGACATAATGAAACCGTGTCACGTCCCAAGCTGAAGGTCAGTGTCATTCTTGTACTCCAAACTGGTTTTTCATTAAAGTGCTTTGATTGCCATATCCTTTCAAATATTCTGTAATACCTGAAGGATTTTAAAATAACTTAACATAAATATAAAGGACGTAATGGCGACGTGTTGCGCGCAAGTATAAGGTCTTCAGCTTGCAAGGTATTCAGCTTTTTCATAAAAGTACATTGTTGGTCTTGTCTGATCACCAATTCGGTCTTTTATCAATAGATTATTCAAATAACAGGGCATATACTTCTTGCACACTGATTAGACTTGTCACAGACAAACGCAAGATCGGCAGTTGTAGAGGTTAAGAGTATACTTTGATGGCAAAAAAAATACATTTATGGTGTTGTGTAGTCATAACTTTGTCATTCGTTGGTTGATGTATTTTTATCAGTTATTTGGCACACCGAATGAGTATACAAGAAACTATTTGTTCATATTTCCTCATTCTTGTATCACTCTTTTTAGTAAACATTCCTTTGTTTTAAGTCAAAGATCAAGATCAAGATTCCTTTACTGGGTCAAGCTTGGATGAGTGATACTTTATTTCTCTTTCGAACCACATATCTTGTTGTAATAAACATTTTTTGCAAAAAAGCTTATTCAAGCCTCGAGCTTGCTTGTGCTAGTCATTAAATTCATAGAATAGCAATGCTATTTACCATTCATTTGTAGAGAAAAGTCTAGTCTATGCAACAATCTGATTAAAATCAGCTCTTAAATAACGCTACGCATTTGGGCCAGACGATCAGGAATAGGTTGTCACCATCTCGTGATTTTTCAAACAGCCAATCATCGGCGAGCTTTCACAATAATTTTGAAAGCGATGCGGTTTCTAATTTAAACCACTGAGTAGGTAATGTTCACGATTTAGAGATGTCCAAATAGCCGGCAGGTAAACCGGCAATTCAATCTTGCCTATAAAACTGAGTCATAATGAAGGCGAAACATGTACGGTGGTAATCATATCTACATGTTAGAAATATTAAGTAGATCTGTACTTTAGTCAAATTGATCTATTCAATTTAACTCGGAAAAGGACAATGCTTCATAATAATGGTTGACACGAATGAAAATAAATAACTTCGAAATGTGTAGAAGCTGAAAACTATTCAAGAAGCCCTAAAAATTTACTTCACTTCATGACAGAGAGATTACTTTAGACATATGGTTGACACAGTTAAGGGACTTGACGGTGTTGTGACGTTTCGTATTTATTAGTAAAACATTAAGATTAGTATGATTTCAAAATTATCTCACTCGCCGAAACCTAAAGGTAAAATCGTGTATATCCACTTAAAATAACACAAAAAGAACGCCGAATCAGCATGTACAATGCTATAGTGTTAGTAAGCGGACCAAAATATTTTTTTCGTTAATCAACATTGAAAGAATTGAATAAACGCATACGGCTGCTATGAAATTATACTCGTCCACAATTACAAATGATTCTTTAATGTGAAAAAGAAAACCCAGCTGGCTTACGGAGCCTCGGGGGTTCTACGTAAGTGCCTGTGTTGGTGTGACATAACATGCAACCAAAAACATATTTTCAGGAATATGTTTACTTTTTGAGACTATTCGTGAGTACCGTTTTGAAAGCAACTTTTTTTTCGTCGATATTAATAAGTACAATAACGCATTATTTTTTTCACTTTCTTGATATTTGGTATGCCTTAAACATTTACGACGCTAATATGTAAATTAGACCAATTGTTCATGCAGTCGATTAATTCACATTACCATGTGGTTAAACATGAAAGAAATTGCGTTAATCTAATAATACGTACGCTTGTCTGGTAAAATAAGAAACCTGTTGCAAGAGAAGAGCTAAAAATCAGATTTCATTTGAGCAACATTTTTCTATTGCATTGAGACAAAATCTTGTTTCATATAAATTACGTGCATTCATCAATTTTACCTTATCGGCTTTTTTTTTATTTTGTCAAAGGTTTTTGAACTATACTCTTTTCATTCCTTTAGGATATACGACTTATGATTGATGACTGACTAATTAACACAGCTGATGTAAAATATTTATGAAATTATAAAATAGTAATAACTATCCAAAATGGCGGGCGTTTTGTGGAAAGCACCAACGAAAAGATATATTGTGATGTGTATGTTAATCATGCTATTTGTGTATTATATGCATCGAGTTACACAATTAAAATATTTGGAAACAAAACTTAGCGGTGAGTAAATTCATAGTTAAAAATATTGTATTTTTTAAAATCACCTACAAGTTATAGAGGATATTCATGTTTTTTCTATAAATACATGATTTATTTTCATCGAGTGGTATGAAAATAAATATTTCATGAGTGGCGGTAGCCACGAGTGAAATATGGTAATTTTCATGTCACAAGATGAAAATAAATTATGTATTTATAGAAAAAAACTTGAATTTTCTGTTTATTATATACATTTTTCTCTTTTTTGACATTAAAATTTGAAAAAACTTTCCATTAAATTTTGTGTACTGGCAGAATTTAAAAGAAAGTAGTCCGGCCAGACACCAGTGAAAATATGGAAAATATGTTTCACTGCAGTGAAAAATAATTTTTTACAGTGAAAATACGGAAAATGAAAATACGCATTTTATTTTATCAATATTTCTCAATATTTTATTTATAAGTATATAATAAAAAAAATACAATTTAGTATAGATTTAAGACAACATAATCGTTTGTTGCAGCCAGCTTAAAAGGTCTTCCATAACATTGACTACCCTCAATATCTTAAATGGACTTATCTATCGTTCAATCTGGACAAATTCATTTGTCATTTTTAGAGAGAATTCGTGATATATGTATTAATAATAACTGAAAAGCGGACAGTGCAGACCATGAGGACACGGCACTTCAGTGCCAGCTGATCTGTAACAAGAACAAACCTGTCAGAAAATATAAGCTAAAATGAAACTTAAACTTGTAAAATGGATGGTATTTTGTGGCAGGTACTTTCTAAGTAGATCACGGGGAGAATAATGAAAAATAACCTTTCATGTCAGATATTCTGTTGTTTTATTCGAAAGAAAAAATAAAGAAAAGTAACTCCTGGGACAAGGAACATGCGTACATACAAAATCCACTTTTAAGAGAATGCCACAGAATTAGGGACCGTTCAGATACCGTGGTAACGTTAAAGGAACAAAATGTCTCAGGAATGGCTTTACTTTAATTTCTCAAAAGCTTTTTTTTAATTTATTTTTGATGTCCTTTTATAGATTCCAAAAAGTTACTCATTGGCCATTTTCATGAACCATCTAGCTTTAGGCTTCTGTTGTTTTCTGGAATTAGTACAGTTATAGTGATATAGTATTTGGTATGGAAGTCTATTGATATATGTTTTGATACATTACATATGAGACTAATAATAGATATACATTTTTGGTTAAACTCTCTCCAAACATTGGTAGCTTGATTAAACGATTTAAAATGTACTTTACCAGATGTGTGTATATATAAATTTAACAGTTGTAGAGTAAGAAAGCTGATATTTAAAACGTTTTGTTTTGTTTAAGATGTTTCTAAACATTTCAGAAAAGGACAACAAACCAGGTGATGATACAAGATATGAAGAATTACTAGAAGATACAATTGAACAATACCCAAATGACAAATCTGCGCAAAGAGAAAAAGTTTTGGAAGAATATAAGAATATTACAAAGTACCCAATATTTCAACCAACTACTGAAGAAGAATTCCCAACCTCTGAAAACCGTATTCCTAGGATACCGCATGTTATTCATCAGATATGGAGTAACATCACTGTCCCTGATAATTTTGTGTTTGCAATGCAATCGTTTGCTAAACATAATCCAACCTGGAAGCACATGTTTTGGACATACCATTCTGGTCGAAAACTGATATCCGAACGTCATCCCCAACTGTTAAAGATGTACGATAACGTTGGCAACCGTGTACAAAGATCGGATATTTTGCGAATTGTGGTTATGTACGAGTTCGGAGGGGTTTATGCAGACTTAGACGTCAAAAATGTTAGACCCTTAGATATTGCAACCTTCAGATATTCGTGCATTTTGCCAACAGAGACCTTTGAACATAGTACTATACTAAATGGTATGCCAGTGTTTCTTAGTAACGCCGTTATTTTATGTAAGAAAAAGCACCCGTTCTTTAAACATTTATTGCATTATTTACAGTTTGAGGATCCAAAAGAATATCCAGTCACTTCAACAGGTCCTGGGTATTTTACTAGGCAGTATATGAAATATAATAACCTTGACATGTATGACCTGTATTCACCAAAGCAAGACAATAATACAAATTCTCCCTACTTCTACAAAGGATCACGTGATCCAGAAGCAGACGACGGTATATATATCCCTAATACTCAATACTTCATGGATAATATTGATCCGAATATTATAAACAAAGATGGAGATTTAACAGCCTGTCTTAAAGGGCATGAGCTGTCATATTTGGCTAAACGTGGATGCGCCGAGTTTGAGCATCGAAGGGAAATTCGGAAACGACGAACGTTCGCATTTACGATACATTATTGGGTACATATGTGGGTAATGTCGGAAGCAGATACCCAGCGTTCATATAGATATTTACATGTGAAAGAA